ATAAAAATACGAACGTACGTGACGAAGTCAATCGTTTTTCGGACTCCATTTTCAATAAATCTTTTTCCATCAGCGGTCTTGTTATACTGAATTAAATTTGACAAATCTCAACCGAACTGAGCTGCAAGCTGCACTTCACAATTCACTTTATTCTAAGCACCCCAACAAAAAATTCAGAGTCACAAATATGCATACATATTGAATAACTGCTTTATAATAGTGTACAATGCTGAATAAAACGGGTTGTCAAATTATGTGCCGAAAAAACCTCATTGAGATCGATAGATGCGCTTTTATTCCGCTGTTTGATCTGATTTGATTAATATACTTATTAAAAGTTATATAAACGTTGACTGTCTTCCTGATTCAACACCAGAAGTTTGATCTAATAACATATTAAATAAGTGTAATTTTCACATACATTGACGCTTTAATTCGACTGTTTTCAAGTGATTTAATAACATGCCTTATTATACGTCTAATAATTGTTTTCTAGCTCCATTATTAGATTCCATGGCATTGCTTAACAATATTGCTGAATAAAGGTGAATACAGTCAGCATAATAGCTCTTATACCACTATGCGTCCATGTTTTAGTTGCATGCTTTGTAAATGCTTTACAAACGGCGTATTCATTCATTATTCCACAACACTGTTTCAGACTAACAACAAAACAAAATTGGTAGCATAGTGGTTACCGTTACCGCTGTCCAAGTAGAAGGTCGCGAGTTCAATCCCACCCTCAACCCTTTTTTATTGTCTACGCCTAATTAATTTAAATCGTAATTATAGATCGTATCACTCACGGCAACCAATTCATCGATCTATCGAAAAGAATAGCCCGGAATCCATCGAAATTAGAGAGATGGGGAGGTAAAATTGGTCTCATGTAAAACAACTATGAATGAATTAATGATTCTCACATCTCCTTAAATTAGCTAGACTTAGAGAGCTAGGCAGATAGTGCTGATAGGTATTCAGATTCAAGCTTTTATTGTTTATATAGCTGCCCATAAGATGTATTCTAGGATAGCTCAGCTGGCAAGGCAAGCGGCTGGTGATCGGAAGGTCCATGGTTCGTATCCCATCTTAACGATATGTGTGTGTATATGATGTATGAATGTTATAAATTTTCTAGTATTCTGTGTGGTTGGTACGTGCTTCGACAGAAATAATGACACAACAATCACCAACGGAGAACAACACCCTGCTCTGTCCCGTTCTTATTTTCGGATTAATTATCCCGTAGTTGAATAATCGTTTAATAATGTATAATAGTGTTTAATTAAATATTATTTCACATGAGAATCAAGCGTCTATATACACCTTTGTAACCACCGCTGTTTAAGGAAGTCTAATAAACGTTGAATAATCAAAAAAATGATCGAATAAGCTCTGTATTACAACTCTTGTAAGTCGAATAAAAGCTTCTCGACATACTTTATTCAACACCCAATATTTCGATGTTGTGGTTGAATAAATTCTCCAGATTTGTGTGAACAAAGCCTGAACAGAAGTTATTATTAAAAATAGTACAAGTATTATTAAGCATGCAGTTGAATAAAATCGTCAAGAAGTCGTTTCTTCAATAGGCAATTGTTTGTTGGGACCTCACGTAAAGCCAATTTCATAAGCACATTGTTGTGTTAATGCGCCAGCTAAACGTTTTTATCATGGCTTGCTAGGATCATGATGTGAAGCCGAAAAACCTCATGAACCTAATGAAACCACTTGTATTTTGTAGTTCAAAGGCATACTTTTTGAATGAAGATGGTTTGGCTTGCCCGTATTTGCCCGTTCTCCAGATATTTTGCGTAGAAAATGTCCTATTTGTATGTTAAAATATTGAATAACTTTTGATAGGTTCATTATAACAAACTAATGTCTTCTAGTAAAATGCGTTTTTTGATGATATCTACTATTATACTGCTAAAATAAAATTTTGAACATTTTTTCTAACAAAAAACGATTTTTGAGGGACTTTTCATAAAAACGTCAGTTTTTTTTTTTTTTTTTTTTTTTTTTTTTTTTTTTCCTTCGGTTTGTTTTTTCCGTCGATCTTGTTTTCCGTGCTGAGCACCAATGCTACCGACGTGCCAGGAAGGCAGCTCCCACACCTGGACCCTACGTATCGACCCATCAACTCATGAACCGGGGACCAACGGCTTTATTTCCCATCCGAAGGAAGGCGTGATCAGAGATGTTATGCCTCAGAACATCCCGGCAGCGCCGGCTGGGATTGAAACCAGGCCTGCTGGGGTGAGAGGTAATCACGCTTACTGCTACACCACCGGCGCCGTTGACAACGTCATTTAACTCATCATACATTGAGTATACGATATTGACATCTTAAGCAAAGTTGCTAGTATTTGCATTATCTACAACTTTGCTCAAGATGCCAACCACTTTTGAGCATGTTTACAAAATTTGAATTTTCTATTGCCCTTCTAGGTGGATAGATCCTAATTTTACTTACTTCAAAACAAAGCTTACAAAGTATCTAACAACTTCTCTGAAGACACTACCCTTCCAAAATGACGTTTACATACCCAAAATAAAAAACGCACGTTTTCGGTAGGTTTGAACCACCGTGCATCGGTAGTGTAATAGTAGCATATACTCTGAAAATCATTAGTTGATTACTTGTGCTATTATTCTTGTATTGTATAAATAAATAAAAAATAAGGAGGTTTCTTAATATCACGTTTTACCTAATCAGGTCAGCGGCGCCGGAATATTCTGATGCATAACATCTCTGATCACGCCTTCCTTCGGGAAGTAAAGCCGTTGGTCCCCGGTTCATGAGTTGATGGGTCGATAGGTAGGGTCCAGGTCTGGGAGCATCTTCCCTGGTGTCGTTATCATTATTAGTGCTCAGCACGGAAAACAAGATCGACGGAAAACAAATCAAAGAAAAAAAAAGATCATACTGATGTAAAATGTAGGCTTCCATTTCATGTTTTTTGTTTAGCCTATTTGATGTGTTTTAAAGTAATTTTCGTCAGGAAATCATATGATTATCTTTGAAGGGTGATTTACAACATTTCACCATAAATGACCCTTTGGTATTGAATCGGTTGTTATTGTTGGCATATCTGGAAGTGGGAACTGAACCCATGACTTTCCTCGTGAGTAAAGGGTGATACGGTCAAAATTTGGTCAATATCAACTTGACGTATTTCTTTCAATTTTGCATTTAAAAAACCTGAACACCCCTCATTTTGAAGGTGTGTGTATGTAGAATGTTGCTTCTATTTTGATTTTGGAATTCACTCTTCAGTTCGAAACCCTAACCTCTCTCTCCGAGATGCCGCAAATAAGCTGGGTGTATCGTCTACAACCGTGCATCGAGCCAAAAAACGAGCCGGACTATCGACTTACAAGATGGTAGTGACTCCAAATCGCGATGATAAACAAAATACAACGGCCAAAGCGCGATCCCGGAGGCTGTACACGACGATGCTGACGAAGTTTGACTGCGTGGTAATGGACGACGAAACCTACGTCAAAGCCGACTACAAGCAGCTTCCGGGACAGGAGTTTTATACGGCAAAAGGAAGGGGAAAGGTAGCAGATGTTTTCAAGCACATGAAACTGTCTAAGTTCGCAAAGAAATATCTGGTTTGGCAAGCCATCTGTACCTGTGGCTTGAAAAGCAGCATTTTCATAGCTTCCGGGACTGTCAACCAAGAAATTTACGTGAAAGAGTGTTTGAATAAACGTCTGCTGCCTTTCCTGAAGAAACACGGTTGTTCCGTACTGTTTTGGCCGGATTTGGCATCTTGCCATTACGGTAAAAAGGCCATGGAGTGGTACGCCGAAAAACAACGTGCAGGTGGTTCCCAAGGACAAGAACCCTCCCAACACGCCAGAGCTCCGCCCAATTGAGAAATACTGGGCTATTGTCAAGCGGAACCTAAAGAAGACCAAAAAACTGCTAAGGGCGAGCAGCAGTTCAAGGCAAACTGGCTTTCTGCGGCGAAGAAGGTGGACAAGGTGACTGTACAAAATCTGATGGCAGGGGTCAAGCGTAAGGCCCGGCAATTCGGATTTGGAAAAGTGGAAGCCTAACTGAATATTTTTCCTTAATTTTATACTAATTGAACTTGAAAAAGAAATTTAATTTGATTTTTTAAATAAACGATTTCACCGATTTACACGCGTTTTCCCTTGACCAAATTTTGACCGTATCACCCTTTAGTACAATTGTTTATAGAAAATGATATCCTTTCGGATGACGTTAACAAAGTTGTACTAGCTGTGGACCCCTCGTGTTGACAAAATTCCACATCCTGTCCCAAAACCTTCAGCCATCCGACCCGAAAATTTTCTTTGAAAACAAAAGAAAGTCGGCCGCCCCGCCATTCAAGCGAAAATTATTGTGTCACACATGCTTTGATTTCAGTCCGTGTATGGTGGCCTAATTCCAGCCTTCATGCGTAACCATATGATTTCTATTCATGGCGTTCGAAAAGCGTAGATACCCACACCACGCATGTCGAGAGGTTGAATTTGGGTGAGAGCAATTAAAATTATTTTGGCATACCTACCTTCATCATTGGTGTGTGCTGCCAAAAAATTATTCCGGTCACATCAAACGACCATCCGGACTGAACGAACTGGACTGTGACTGTGACGATTACCGGGAAAAGCGTAGAGAAGGGTACATTGTTCCGAGAAATCGGCGTAAACACATGGAAATGTGGTTTGTGGTCACGCTACAATTACCGGTTTTGGAGGGGCCGGAATGTATGACTAATTGAAGCAAATATTGCCGTACTACAATTCATAAAATAACAACAGTTCATCCCATCATTAGCTCAGTAAAACTGCTCCAATATAACCACCACTCAAATCACAAAAAACATCATCGATTGTCAGTGTAACTCACTCATCATTCATAAGCAAACGGTCACCCTACGAACCGGTCCCCTCCTTTATTCGCACCATCACTTCCATTGAACGGTTTCATATTGCTAACGTTAAATACATCACACCAGATTTGCTGACCAACCGGGCTGCAATTGCTCCTGCGGATGCCACCGAACTAGGTGCACGGACGCATCCCATCGGTTCCAAACCATCCGAGCAAGTAACGCACATAAATGGATGTATTAAATTTCAAATTACGTTCACTTTCCTACGATGTACTTCTACCGTGCGTGGTGCAATGGAGGAAGTGACGAGGCCCCAGCATCAGACGACAACAGGAGCGATGGAAGCCTTTTTAATCATCGTCATCATCGGGCGTACCGACCATACACAAACACATACGTCTACATCCATTCAACGCATCATCGTTGGTTCATATCACTTTTTGGTACGCTGTATCTCGTCAATATTTCATTTTGTTCGTGTCCAATACGCCTCTTTGACAATCCTATCATTGATACAGTTTAAAGTTTATATCTATAGCAACCGAAGTAAGGCAGACTCAGGTTTGTTTGGGCATTGCAACAGGATTGCAAATTTATGGAACTGATTTGCTGTAATGTAAAATTGGTAGCTTATCAAATTAAAGCGTTGGGCCCTACTCTTGGAACTCAACATGTTAGATTTATTGTAAGACTTTATGATGCTATGATATACGAGGTATATAATTTAAGTATATCATCTAATAAGAGACCATGAATAAATGACGTAGCCTTTAACTCTCCGCTACTCGCGCTGTTGTACTTTGTACAATACATATGAGTTTTCCTTGCCAAACCAACGTGTATTCCTCAAAAAACTTGTTCTGAACTAAAACCAGCAAGCTAAAATGTGATTACAGCAAACCCCCAAAAAATGCAGATAATAAGGAAAATGTAAATGAAAACCGCATTGTTCAGGGGGTCCAAGCCTATTGCTTGGTGAACAATAGTTCAGAATTTTCTCACTGCGCAGCGCTAGTATACATGTGGTATATATGCTACCAACGCCAGGAAGGCAGCTTCCACACCTGGACCCTACCTATCGACCCATCAACTCAAGAACCGGGGACCAACGGCTTTACTTCCCTTCCTCGAAGGAAGGCGTGATCAGAAATGTTATCCCTCAGAACATCCCGGCGGCGCCGGACTAAATGTCTTCGGCAAAGTTGTTCAGTAAGTCAAGATCTTTTCGTTGGTGGACAGTAGTTGGCCGCTTGTTACACTTTTAAAACGATAGAAAACCTCAATTCAATGTTCCGCTCTTATGAAAAGTCACAAACAGTCGTAGCCAGTAAGCTGTTGATTGTAGAAGCTTGTTATAATCCGAAAACTTGAGAACGTAATCCAAAACGAGAGAAGTCTTCTCTGCCGTACTTGGAACGACTGTCCTCCGCATTTCTAGAGGTGATTGTTCTGCGATTGGGTCCGATATCCATTGTTCCTTTGGTTTCTTCAGCCAGCTTGGGCCACTCCACCAGGATACGTTGTCCAGTATTTCGTTCGAAAGAATGCCACGAGAGATTAAATCTGCAGGGTTAGTCTTCCCCGACACGTGACCCCAGTTACAGCCTTCCGTCAAAGTTTGGGTTTTGGAAACTCTATTTGCCACGAAAGTAGTCCATGTGGCTGGGGGTGATTTGATCCATTGCAGCACGCGTGCCGCGTCCGTCCAGAAGTGTACTTCAACTTCCATCTTCGTAGCACCTGATACCTTCTCCCAAAGCTGTGCTGCTAAGAGTTCGCCACATAACTCCAAGCGTGACAAGGACTGTACCTTTATAGAAGCGACCTTCGACTTTGATGTTAGCAGATGAACGGTAACAGTGCCATCCCCTTCTTCGCTTCGCACGTAGACTGTGACCGTGTGCTAACATCGACACATCAGAGAAACAGTGAAACTCAACAGATGTTGCGCCGGGTACGACGACACACCGTGCGACCGTTAACGTGTTCAGTGACGGTAGCTGTTCGTGGTATTTGCGCCACTCCTCACCCACTGTTTCGGACAGTTGATCGTCCCAGCTTAATCTTTGATTACGTTCGTTTACCAGAGTCCATAAACGTTGCATAAACACCTTTGCAGTCATGATAGTTGCACGCAGCAAGGACCTCTAGGACAGAGGGTTGGAAATTAAAGTGGTCTGAGTTAGGAAGCCAGTTTAGTCCCAAAGTTTTGACTTCTGCATTCCGGTTCCAATCGATGCCATGCGTAGTGGGTAGTGTCAAATCCTGCTTGGGAATTTCCTTTAACACTGCTGGAGAGTTTGACGCCCATTTTCTCAACCTGAAGCCTTTGCTAAGTGGCATAGCACCCAACTGACATCGTAGTTCAATGGCAGATTCTATATCATCCGCACCGGAGATCACATCGTCCATATAAACGTCTTCGTCAACGGCTTGGGTAGTTCGCTCGCTCATCCTCTGCTAATTGTTTTAACGTACGAGTAACAAAGGATTTCGGATTTCGTACCGTAAGTCACCGTAATTAGTTCATATGTGGCATTTTGGTTATCTGCACTGTAGAGGGGTGTCGAGCTGAGTGATCCAAATCTGTCGGTACATCTTTTCCGCATCTACGACTACCATAAATTGACGGAACCAGTTACGGTGAATGATCGACCTTAGACCTTGCAGTACTATCTGCCCTGCAAACGACGCATCGTTTATCGAGATGCCTGTAGATTTTGCATGACGCATCAAACACCACCCTGACATTAGTTGTGGTGCTTGACTCCTTAATCACAGGATGATGGGGTATGAAGACTCGTTGGACGACATCCGTATCTTCTACCTTCGGCAAGTACCGCCTCACGACAGTATTCCAACGGCTGTTGCCTTCTTTTTCTTACGACTGCCTTGATACTGAGGGATACAGACGCCATAAAAATGTATCACCTCGATAAGGCGTCCATCGGTGATGCAGCTGGTGTATTGAATACTAAGATCCTTAGTGAAGTGAATTATCGACAAGCTTGGGACATTTTGAAGGATCGCTACGAAAACAAGCGGGTTCTCGTAGAAACCCACATCTGTGGTCTGTTTTCACTACGAGAGATGTCATCGGAGTCAAGTTACTCACCACGTCGAGAGCCTGAAGTTCCTCCAGCAGCAGATCACTGGCGTTTCGGAGCACATGATTGTGTATCAGGTCGTCTCCGCGCTCGACAAATCTACCCGCAAAGCCTGGGAAGGGATCAAGAAAAAAGGAAATCTTCCCAAATACTAACCAACCATCGTCTTCCTGAAGTCCAGGTGCCAAATCCTCGATAATTGCGAGGAGGCATTCCAGACTAGCAAATCCAGCTCGAAACAGAAGCAAGCTCTTCCACCATCGAAGATCCATCCGTAAAAGAGCTATGCAGCATCGGGCTGGTCTTGAGCGAAATTTGTGGTTGTTCTCACCACAACCACCAGTGCTCGGCCTTGTCCAACCTTACTCCTGCCCAAAAAAATGATAAGATACGAACCGCTGGAGTGTGCTTCAACTGCCTGCGCAATGGGCATCAATCCAAAGACTGCCCTTCCGACAAGTCGTGCCACAAGTGTCAACGCCGACAACACACGTTGCTCCATGATGATGGGGCACCCCGTCATGAGAAGAAGTGTAACGTTTCCGTGGAAGCAGTGTCAAACCCGCCCCTGGTTCCGGCTGCTCCGAATCAACCGATGTCGGTGCAGACGATTCGTGCCCCAGTGGATCCACCGGTGTAAACAGCCTGTTCGTCGAATGTTGTCTCATTTCCCAAGACGGTACTGTTGCTGACCGCAGTGGTACATGTCTTGGATAAAGAGAACCAGCCATATCCGTGCCGGGTCCTTTTGGATAGTCAACTTTCTTATCAAAAAGATGGTTAACCACCTTGGCCTCCCAACGAAACCAGGCAACGTTCGGATCGTGGGAATCAACGCCTGCGGTCCCTCGCTCGCAACAAGGTGGTGGTCAGGTTCCAGTCCCGTGTATCCAATTTCCACGCAAGCCTCGAGTGTCTGGTTACACAGATAGTGACCGGCACAATCCCTACATCGAGAATAGACATCACCAAATGGACGATCCCTGAGGGGGTAATCCTAGGTGATCCCAAGTTCCACAGTCCGAATAAGGTGGACTTGCTGATCGGTGGGGAGTTATTCTTCGATATCCTGAAACCTGATCGGCGGAGCCAAGCCGACGGTCTTCCACAATTGCGAGACACTTATCTGGGGTGGATCGTAGCAGGTGCCATCAATAACCAGCTCGTGTCAAACTTGTCGCTCCAATCCATCACAGCCGTTGAAGACATTGAGCAAAGTATGCACCAGTTCTTGCAAGTCGAGGAGGTGTCAGACGTTCCCAAGCTGTCGACGGAGGAAGCAACATGCGAAGCCCACTTCCTTTCCACCTACCAACGAGCCGAAACTAGAAGAATCATCGTGAAACTACTGTTTAAGGATAATCTTCTCCAATTGGATAACTGCCGCAGTCTAGTTTTGAAAAGATTCCTGATGTTGAAGAAGCGATTAATCCGCAACCCCGAGCTGCAAGTTCAGTATGTGATCTTCATCCAGGAGTACGAAGCTCTCGGCCACTGCACCGAGATCAACGAGTCTGAAGCTCCACCCAACAAGCAACTCTACTATTTGCCGCATCACGCAGCGTTACGTCTGTTCAGCTCTAGCTCGAAATGTCGAGTCGTGTTCGACGGAAGTGCAAAGTTGTCGTCATCGGAACTTTCCCAGAATGATGTACTGTACAGTAGTTCAGAACGATCTGCCCCATATCGCGCTACGGTTCCGAAAATTCAAGATTGTTATCACCGGAGACATCTCTAAAATGCACCGTCTAATACTCGAAGCCCTGTTGGATCACAGTTTCCTTCGAATCTTTTGGAAAGAGCACCCATCGTTACCCCTACGAGCCCTAGAACTCTGTACCGTTACGTACGGTATGGCTTCGGCACCATATCAAGCAACCAGGTGTTTGCGCTGAAGCTCGTCGAGAAGGATGGCGAGGACTTTCCTGTCGCCGCTCGTATTGTGAAAAAAGAAACGTACATGGACGATGCACTCTCCGCTGCAGACTCGGTGGAGGACGCTATTGAGGCTCAACAACAACTGAAGCAGATCATTGGACAGGGAGGTTTCCCCATACACAAATGGTGCTAGAGCATATTCCCGTGGAGGATCAAGAAAAAAGGATCACGTTGGAAGAGCATGGAGTGAATGAAGCCACCAAGGTGCTTGGTTTACTCTGGGATCCTTCTGCAGACTCGATGCTCATAGACTATCGTCCAAATCCAACATTGCATCCGCAAAGGCCCAAGAAAAGGACGATGTACTCCGAGATCGCCAAGTTTCTTGACCCCCTGGGACTGGTTTCACGAAGCTTCTAGCGCAGAAATTGTGGCAGCTTAAGTCCGGGTGGGACGACCCGGTTGACGAAGACATCGCACAGCAGTGGTGTCAACTCCAATATTCTTTGTCGCATCTTCACGAGATCGCGATCGAGATCCCAAGGCGCGTGACGATCGACAACGTGGTCGCCTACGAGCTGCACGGCTTCTCTGATGCCTCCAACATGGCTTATGGAGCCTGCATCGTTTTGCGAAGTATTTTTGACGATGGCTCGGCGAAGCTTTGTCTCCTCACCAGCAAATCGAAACTGGCTCCCCTAGAAGAGCTGTCAATCCCACGTAAGGATCTGTGCGCTGCTCTCCTACCAACCCGGTTGGAGCAGAAGGTTTTTCCAGCCCTGGATATGACTTTCCGTGACAAAGCCTGTGGTGCGACCGTACGGTAGTCCTTGCTTGGGTTAAGAAACCTCTCAACCAGCTACAGTTGTTTGTACGGAATCGAATCGCAATTATACAAAAGCACACTCGTAAGTACCGGTGGGAGTATGTCCGGTCCCAACAGAACCCAGCTGAGAACAACAGCCTTTGGTGGAATAGGCCCGAATTCCTACAGAGAGTTGAGTACTACGTAGATGCCCCTGAAGACGTTCCAGACGAGAAGCTACCGGAACTTAAGGCCTTGGTAGTAGGGTCTATGTAGATGTGAGTACACGGGAAAAAAAAAGAGTTCCCATATTCGTGAACCACAGCCATGAACCATAGTTCACGGTGTATATTTAAGAAAATTTTGTTCTGGATAGCTGGCCGTGATTTTTAGTTGACGGTCCGTTCCCGTTTTCGGGAACGGATTTTTTTTTCCGAGTATGGACTTCCTATATTTTCTTCCAAAGTTCAGTAACTTCCACAAAATCCAACGAGTTGTGGGCTATGTCCTGCGATTCACTGCCAATTGTCGGAAAAGGGACCCGACCAATCGAGAGATAAAGCCCCATCTGACCGTCCGTGAGTTACGGCGCTCATCTGAAGTCGTCATGCAAGTTTTTAAGAAGGCACATTTCTCCGACGAAATTAAGCGAATTCTGGCAAACAAGCCCTGCAAGAGACTCGGAGGTCTTCGTCCAATTTACCACGACGGACTGCTTCGAGTAGGTGGTCGGTTGGACCGCTCACAATTACCATTTGAAAGCCGCCATCCAATCATTCTGCCAGATAAGGATTCGCTAGTACGACTAGTAATTCAAAAAATGCACGTCGAGCTTCTTCACGTCGGGCAAACGGGCCTGATGAACGCCATGAGACAACGTTATTGGTTGCTGAACGCAATATCCACCATCCGATTTATCACGCGCCGGTGCGTGAGATGCTTCCGGACTAATCCTACCACCCCAACCAATTGATGGGAAACCTGCCAGTATCGATAGTAGTGCTGTCGCCCCCTTTCGCTGTGACCATCGTGGATTATGCCGGGCCTTTCGGGACCAAGCAAGGCACATGTCGTCCAACTTTGGTGAAGTCGTACGTGGCCGTTTATGTTTGCATGGTAACCAAAGCCCTCCATTTGGAGGGCGTCTCCGATTTGAGTACCGATGCCTTCATGGCGTCCCTTCGACGGTTTATCGCTCGTCGTGGAATATTACAAGAAATCCATTCGGACAACGCAACCAATTTTTTGTGGTGCTCACCACGAATTGAACAACCTTTACCAGCAGTTTTGTGACCAACCAGTCGTGGAGATCATCGAATCGTTCTGCCGCAATCAAGAGATTGAATGAAATTTCATTCCACCCGACGCATCAGAGTTCGGTGGTTTGTGGGAGGCGGCCGTGAAGTCGGCTAAAACCAATTTGAAGCGGGTAGTCAGCAATACGACTCTAACGTTCGAGGAATTGTGTAAGATCCTGTCAGAAATCGAGGCCATCTTGAGCTCGCGACCATTTCGCGCAATTTCCAACGACCCGGCGGACCCGCTGCACTATGATCCGAATCGACAATTTAGCAGGAAAAAAATGTTTTCTCCGTTGTTGTTCATTTAAGATGGTAAGTGTCTTGAGAGAAGTTGTTTGTTATCATACCATGCTTCTTTTGAGCAAAAAGCCGGTTAGGGTGGTCCTCGTTTAAATCCAAATTCAAATTCTAACTTTTTTGTTTCAGGTTATAGCTAGTTACATTGCTGAGCAAAGTTGTAGAAAATATTATTTTAGACAACTTTGCTCAATACACCATTTATCTATCTCTTTAGTTGACGGTTTTAGAGCATTTATTAAGTATTTAGTTAGGGTGTCCCTAAAAAAACTGGTTTTTTATTTTATCTTTTTTGAACCATTTTTTTTAGAAAATAGTCTTCAAAAAACTCCGTACAATGACAGTTTACAAAAAGGTTGTTCCCCATGATAATTTATAATTGATATAGGGTGTCTCACACAAAAAAACATAATTTATTCTATATCTTTTACTTTACATTCTACAAAAAAGTTGTGCAAAGAAGACTTTAAGATCTAGTCAAAACCTACAATTTTGATGAAGACAGTATGTTGTTATGTTTAGACATTTTTGAGTTACAGGTAATTTTCAAGTTTTTTTAGGGTATTTTTAAAATTGATTTATTCAAATTTAAAGAAAGTTTGTCCTCGCAGTTTTTTCCTAAAATATTTCTTTAAGTATGGCTTTTCATATGATACCACAAGACAAATTTTAGCGATCCAAGTCCATGTGATATAAGCATTTTAACACCACTTGGTTTTTTGGGCAAAATAGTCAATAATTTTTTAACGTTAAGACTTATCAACATGCTTTGTTCAGCAAAACGGTGCGCCAAAATTAGTTTTTTGAAGACTATTTTCTAAAAAAAAATGGTTCAAAAATAGATAGAATAATAAACCAGTTTTTTAGGGACACCCTAACTAAATACTTAATAAATGCTCTAAAACAGTCAACTAAAGAGATAGATAAATGGTGTATTCAGCAAAGTTGTCTAAAATAATATTTTCTACAACTTTGCTCAGTAATGTAACTAGCTATAACCTGAAACAAAAAAGTTAGAATTTGAATTTGTATTTAAACGAGGACCACCCTAACCGGCTTTTTGCTCAAAAGAAGCATGGTATGATAACAAACAACTTCTCTCAAGACACTTACCATCTGAAATGAACAACAACGGAGAAAACAATTTTTTCCTGCTAAATTGTCGATTCGGACCATAGTGCACTGGAAGCTAGGTCGCATCGTAGCCGTCTATCCTGGAACCGATGGCCTGGGCCGTGAATGGAACCACGTATCGACGTCCCATCAATAAGGTGTCCATTTTGCCCATCGAAGATAACGATCCCCGTCCAAGACCTCTGACTTCCAAAAGGAGTTGAAATCTCTCAACCGGGGGGAGGATATTCCGCCTACCGCCGAAATAGAGGAGAAAACGTCGACCAATCAGCAACGAGTAAACGATCGTCCGAGCATCCGTTCGCAGCAGCAGTAACTATAAAACGTTGTATCGAGAAACAAAGCGAAATACAGTAGTGTCTAGTGTAGTCGGCAGCATTCGTCATTTCTACTGCATGTCCATTGGTGTCCCGGAGAGCAGCGTCAAATCTATTTATTTATTTATTTTTTATTTATTTATTTATTCCGTCAACCAACGTAGACTAGTACAATTAATACAGTTTTGTTTTCTTAAATATATATTTATATAAAAAAGTAGTGTCAGCTTTCTTGTCTTTTCTTTTATGAGTTGTTATTTCTTATGGAATAAAAATATTGCTTTAGTTTATGCCGAGACATTGTAAAGTCAATGGTTTCGCAGTGTTTATTGTAAGAGGCCATCATGCGGTTTAATGGCCCATATTTTGCATAATTTGTGCGATGATGTTTTATGGCAAATAAATTTCGATTTCGGAGTTGCCGAGTGGGTGCATGGAAATTTAATTTTGATAAAAGTTCTGTTGAGTCAATGCGTTGCGAAACGATATCGTTTACAAATGAAACCATTGCATATTCACGACGCTCTTTTAATGTTTGTATGTTTATAAGCATGCAGCGTGCTTCATATGATGGAAGAGGAAATGAAGTCCAACCTAATTTACGAAGAGCGTATAATAGAAATTGTTTTTGTACTGATTCTAATCTTTCTTCCTGCGTGATTGAAAATGGAGACCATACAATACTGCAATATTCCAGTATTGACCTCACATAGGCAATATATAGTGTTTTAATTGTGTAAGGGTCCTGAAAGTTATAGCAAAAGCGCTTGATAAAGCCTAGCATGTTATTTGCCCTGTGAATAATTGTATTGTAATGGTCTATAAAAGTTAGCTTAGAGTCTAAGATAATTCCTAAATCCCTAACTCTTTCACATTTGTCTACAGTTTGATTTCCTAATGCAATTGAAATGTTTGAAGTTGTTCTTTTTCTACTAAATGATATTAAGTTACATTTTTTTACATTCAATTCTAGTAGACTTTTTTTTGCACCATATGTAGAATATGTGTATTTCATTCCGGAATATATTGATGTCTTCTTCATTTCTTATTTCCAAAAAGAGCTTCATGTCGTCGGCATAAATAAGCAATTTAAGTTTTTTGAGAATGTAAGATATGTCGTTTACGTATAGAATGAAAAGGAGAGGTCCCAAATGAGAGCCTTGGGGGACGCCTGAAGTGACTTGAATTGGGCTCGATTTCTTTCCGTTGAATTTAATTATTTGTTGGCGGTTAGTTAAATATGATTCAAGCCATTTCAGGAGCCCTGACTTAATTCCAGTTTTTTGCAGTTTAAAGAGTAACATTGGTATGTCAATGCGGTCAAATGCCTTGCTAAAGT